CCAAAGGGCACATTCTGCAAGTCTGCTCCTGGCCACCAGCTCTTAGTCCTTCTCTTCTTAGTTGATCAATCTAGAGTCCTCAGCCCCTCCCCCTCTCCATGCCACCATCTCTGCCTCCATCTCTGGTGCTGCTGCTTTTCTGGATAAGGTCCCGCATTCTATTTGTGTGTTCCTCTCTTGATAGTCCTAGGGTCCTCTGTTTCTGGACTGGAAGATTAACCACTCCCCTTTTTTTTGTTACAAAACTTCTATCTTTACAATTGTGACAGTCATGATTAGTCATGATAACAGTTATTCACTATTGAGTCTTACGAATCTTATCCCCATCTCCTTTCACCAGACCCATCTAGACAAGATGATAGCTATTCAGTGGGGACTCTTTCTTTCCCTGCACACTCTTAACTAAGCTCCCTCTTGAAACCTGTAAACCAGTCACTTCGTGCCTTTATTTCCCCCTCATTTTAGATAGCCGATGTCTAAGTTGCCCGTCCCTATCTACCCTGTGCACAGAGCAGATAGCATTGAAACTTGATTTGAAGACTCTTTCCCTCTCGGTTGGTATTTAGAGTAACTACCACTCTGAGTATAGGTCAGGTTCATCATGAAGATGTATCTTCTGTCACTGTAGCTGTTCCAGTCTGCTTGTCCTTTCTAGTGGGAATGTCTCACCTCACAAGGTTGTATATGAGACTTCCTTTTGGTTTTCTAACTACAGATCTTTGCACATTTCTTTCTTTCTTTTTTTTTTTTTTGAAAGTTTGTACTATGAATTGAGTGGTAGTTTTCATGGGAGAATATCGGTTTTATACTCATCCTATCATATTTTGTTGTTTTATTGCAATGATTACAATCCCTCTGTGCATCATCATTCAACAGTATTGGCTTCTATTCCCTCTTTTTTTTTTTTTTGATGTACACAAAAACACTCAGGAATATATAATCATTTAAACAACCAAAGAGCACATTCTGCAAGCCTGCCTCCTGGCCACCAGCACACAACTTTTCTCTTTCCATGAGTCTAGAGTCCTCAGCTGCTCTCCCTCTCCATGTTGACCATTGTTGGAGGTCAGCTGCTCTATGAAGTTTTGACTTGGGCCTCAGTTTCTCTACCCTCCTCCTTTGAGAATGGAACACAAGAAGCTATATGAAACCAGAGGCCTGCTGGAGTGCACACCTAGCCTTCTCACTAGGATTTCAAGTGCCTGTCTTCTGCTGTCTGCCACCTTTCTGGAGAAACTCAGTGGTGTTTGACAACAGCCAGCCAACTTCTCTGCACTTCCCTGCCACCCTCCTGTAGTGAAAGTTGCAGTGGTGATCTGCCTCAGGGACGCCTCAGGGACATCACCAGACAGCCAGTGGAGGCATCTTTGCAGCTGGATGGTGAGGGAACCAGCTCCTTCATCCTTCATTGTCTCTCCTGGTACCACCTTTGGTGTTCTGGAACCTGACCCTGAGATGGAGCTTGGGGTAGGAGCTGTGTGTTAGGATCAACTCCATGAAAGTCAGGGTTGAAGGCAGGACCAAGCAGAGGAGAATGTCCACGTCAGTGCAAGGCCCACCCAATGGGGTGCTCTGAGTGAGCTGTCTGGCAGAAAGTCCCATGTGGGACCACAGAGGCTGCCACTTCCTGTCTCCACATGGCCGGGTGAGGGGTGTCTATAATCAGGCTGCCCTGTGGGGGGGAGGGGGCGGGCCTCAGTGGGGTGGCAGTGTGTATGGACGCCCTGCCTGTAGAAAAGGGTCACTGCTCTCCTGCCCTAGGAGAGATGCTGGCATAAGCCTGGAGCTGCTTCCTTGCACCCACTGTCTCCAGGCTGCATCTTCAGGTGCTTCTCCCAGGCTGCTCACACCCCCGTCCAGAGGCAGCCATAACCCACCATCCAGTTACTCCAAAGGACAGTCATCATGTTCCCTGTGGGGAGGGTGGTCCTTCTGATCTGATCTCCAGACCACCCGCCTATGTGTCTTGAGGCTTCCTGGCTCCTGAGGGCCTGGGTCCCCTCTCTCCAGTGACTTGTTTCTCTGCAGACTCTCAGGTCTTCATCCAGCCATGCTGAATTCTTTACCACCCCAATGGAGTTTTCCACGTGCTGTATTTGGGGTGACAGATAATCACTTAGTTTCACTGAAGCACTGTTTTACTTCCAATTCCTGTTCTGGTTATTTTGTGAGTTTTGAGAGAAAAGAGTGAGGAAATCTCTTAGAGTTGGTTGCTGGGTGGTGGGACCACATATGCACTTCCCTCTTTTTGGAGCATCAGTGTTGACAGGGATGCCTTTGCTCTAACTTGGGTTCTAGGAATCACAGCTTTAAAAAATAAATTAAAAAAACCCAACACAACAAACACCAAAAACCTTTTTATTGTGAATTTAATGACGGTTTACAGAGCAGAAAGGAAGTTTTCCATTGAACAAATCCTATGTTTCGTTTCATTGCAATGATTGCAACCCCCTCCATAGATCATCAGTTAACAGTGTTTCCCTCTATTTACTTTAACTCTTGCACTCCTCCCTGTGTCTCCCACTACCTTCAGCTTTCCTCCACCAGAATCCCAGGTCAGTATTCAAATCAAGAGGCCACTTGGATGTCTGTTACCAGGAATGTCAGAAGGCAAAAGTTTGGGTGGATAGTACACAGAGCCCTCACCTCCCATCCATTGGACTGCAAGGGATAGGCAAGGAGGAAGAGCATACTACTGCTGCATGGTCAGAGCAGTTCTCCTGGTTTCTGTAGTCTCAGCTGGCTGGCCACCTCGATGTCCACTGGGGCTAGGAACACAGGGTGGACCCTGATCGGGGTACTGGGACCTTCTAGAGCCATGCCCCTTGGGGAAAGTGTTTAGTGCAGGGTCACTGTCATTTGGCCCAGGGAGAACAACAGCCAGGTAGGGACCAGGTCAAAGGAGGGGACCCCCTGTAAGCTGGCCCCTGCTCCAGCCCTCACATAACAGGAGATGCCCAGGGTGGAGGCTGCCTCTGGCCTGAGGCCCAGTGCCTCCTGGAACTGCCTTGTGCCTGTCAGCACAAATCTTGCGACCTCAGCAGCTGGCCTGGCACTCTGCGGGAAGTTTCCCCACGGCTGTGGATCCTGGCAGGCTGTGAGGTGGACTGACAGGGAAGCCAGGCATTTCCACCTGCTCTGACTTGTCAGGCAGTCGTGGTGCCTATATGGGCTGGGTTGCAGTGTGTGTGTGTGTTTTTGAGACTCTGGGGGTCACACAGAGGGATGCAGGGAATTTGGTAAGGCCCTGGTCTGAGACTACCCCAGGTGGGGAGCAGGCAGGTGGTGGGAGAGCCCTCATCTCCGATAGTATACTGACTGTACCCCCAAACCTACAAGCATCTTGGTCAGTCCAGTAGGACAAGAAGGACCATGGCAATGGAAAACACAGGGTCTCTGCAAATGGTGGTCCATTAGATGCAAACAGGGAGGGGCTGGTGTGCAAATGTGTGCCTGTATGTCCACGTCTGTGGGTGTGTGCCCATGTTTCTGAAGGAGATTGAGCTCACATATGTGGGCATGGGCCCCAAGGAAATACCCGCTCATCATCACACACCCATTGTCTCTGATGAGCTCTTGGTCACAGAGGAGGATCAGGTTTCCCAGTGAAACCCCAAAATAGCCCAGTTGCCCAGGGAGCCAGTCTGGCCCCTGCCTGTAACCCAGGCACAGTTCTGTTTCCTTTGGGACTGTGGTCCCAACTTCTCCGGCAATGGACTAGGACCAGTGGGTGCTGGGCCGGGAGATGTGAAGGTCAACCATGCTCAGAACATCAGGGTCCACCTGACCAGGGTGGACCTCCAACAAGAGATCTCATGAATAAGCAGTAACAAGCTGTGATGTGGGGGTCCCACAGCAGAATGGGGGTCCTCCAGGGAAGTACATTCAGATGAAGGTGAAACAGCAAAGAGGAAACAGCTTGTGCAACAAGGCTCTAAGAACCACTCCGACCCTCTCCCTGCCCTCTGCTCCTAGTTGGCTCTTGAGGCCCAGACCCCCAAGAAGGTTGAGGTTGGGATGTGAATGGTGGCACCAGGTTGAGGATAGCCAGGAAGAGGCAGTGTGGGGAAGGGCTGAGTCCGTCCCCAAATAGGGCTATAGGACCTCTCTGGCTATAAAAGGCTCTTGGAATCAGGACCCCAAGGGACCATGGACAGCTGGGCCCATCTAAAACCGCACAGCCACCCCTGCCTACATGTTCTGCCCACAGCATACAGTGCCACAGTTCCTGTAGTGCCCGCAGGTAGCCACAGACATGGTAAGGTGTCTTTCAGAGCCCAGGGCTTCTAGTTAGGTGGGTGGTAGTCTAAGCTGGGGCTGGGACCACATAGTAGGGGCAGCTGGAAAAGGGGTCTTAGGTCAAGGGAAGGGGCCCAATGCACAGAGGTGGGGCGGTCTCCCCGGAATCTCCCAAAGGGCCCAGTGATGAGATCTGTGATCCTGGGCTGGGGTAAAACATTCCTCTCTGAAAGCTCTCCCATAACCCATTTCACCGGTACTGGCAGGCAGGGGTGGCCAGGTTCAGGACTGCCCCCTTTCCCTTGAGCCTTTGACTTGGTCTGGGCTGGGTTCCCCAGAAGCTAGTCCAAGGTATCCTTCATTTGCTGTTAACTAGCCCCATTATTTGGCTCCAGGGTCTGGCTCACCTGCCCCTGCAGCTTCTTGGTACCATGGATCTGTGTCCTGACTATTCCACACCTGGCCTCCAATATCTGGGCCCAGCCTCATTTGCCCTTCCCCCTTTAAACTGCCTGGTGGTCCTGCTGACCCCAGGCATTCACTGCATGTCTCACCCTCTGCTGAAAGCCTTCTTGGATCCTGGCTGGGCTGGGGCCCTCCTTTGTTTAACCACTACTCCTTAGAGTGGTCAGTTGGATGCATGGGGGCAAAGGCACTTTGCACCATATCACCCAGGACCCCCAACCCTCCTGGACAGAGGGCAACTGAGGCCTGGCTGGGGCCTGGAGCCCCTGGTGAGTGGGGCAGTTTGTGCCCCACAGACGGAACGCTTAACGGCTGAACAGATCAAGGAGTACAAGGGAGTCTTTGAGATGTTTGATGAGGAAGGCAATGGTGAAGTGAAGACAGGCGAGCTGGAGCGACTCATGAGCCTGCTGGGCATCAATCCCACCAAGAGCGAGCTGACCTCCATGGCCAAGGATGTGGACAGAGACAGTGAGACAGGGTGGCAGGGTGGGTGGGTGGGAGCTCGAGTGTATGAGTGTGAAAGTGATGGAGCCTATGGGGATGGGAGGATGGGTGAGATGGTGGGTCCAATCTAACCCTCATGTGGTCCCTTGCAGATAAAGGGTTCTTCAACTGTGATGGCTTCCTGGCGCTGATGGGCATTTACCATGAGAAAGCCCAGAACCAGGAGGGCGAGTTGAGGGCGGCCTTCCAAGTCTTTGACAAAGAGGGCAAGGGCTACATTGACTGGAACACACTCAAGTATGACCCTATGGGCAGCTGGGGGAGGCCTAGGGAAAGTACAGGCTGGTGGGAAGGGTGGACTGGGCAAGCTGGGTGGGTGCAGCCCTGGACCCACTGGCCAAGGCTCAGCTCAGTGCGGGCGTCTGGCAGATATGTGATGATGAATGCAGGTGAGCCCCTCAATGAGGTGGAGGCCGAGCAGATGATGAAGGAGGCAGACAAGGATGGGGATGGGACCATCGACTACGAGGGTGAGCTGCGGGGATGAGCAGAGGGTAGGTGGGACGTTGGCAGCTGGGGCCAGGGCAGACAGCTGATCTGTTCCTCTGCCCCTCAGAGTTCGTGGCCATGATGACCGGAGAGTCCTTCAAGCTGGTCCAGTAGGAGCAGCTGTTACTGGTTGGGCGGCTGCCCGCCACTGCCTTCCCCACCCCCGCCGGTTTGGTGTCCAATAAATATCTGTCCTGATTTTTGTGTGCGCTTCACTGTGCAAGGTGGGGAGGGGCAGTGGCTTTGAGGACAGCCTGGAAGGGTAGAGGGTACTTGGGCCCGGTCACTTCTGCTGGGACACCTGACCACCACTCCTGGCTCTGGGCTTCTGTACTCCATCTGTCTGCAGCCCATGGGACCCCAACTTGTAGGCCTGGCTTGGCATGGGTCAGGAATAGTCACACTGTTTCTGCCCGCCTGCCCTCCCAAGTCCTCTTCACATCGATGGAGATCATTTAGATACAAACTTTATTCTCTTTCTGAAAGGCTGCAGACTTTATAGCTGGTAGGGTGCTCCTGGGGCTCAGGTCTGCCAGAGTGGCCAGGGGACCCAGGATGGGGAGGGTAGTACCCCTCATCCTTGGCTGTTACATAGCAACGAGGTTGGGCTGCAGCAATGTGCTGGACACTAACCTTCCCAGGGGGAAGGTGGCAGGGACGGGCTGGGGTTGAGGTGCCAAGCCCCTGTGTGCCCGGCTCCTGGAGCACGGCATGGTGAGAAGTAGTGGGAGAGAGAGCGCTCGCCACCCTACAAGGGTGCCAGGGCTACAGCAGCGGGGGCTGGGCACTGGGGGCTGTTTCCTGGGGCACTGGAGTGGCCTCTAGGTCCAAGACCCCGGGGAGGGGGCTGGGCCTCGGGGATGGGGCTGGCTCTTGGTGGCTGGGCTTGGCTGTCTTGACTGCCTCATCATAAGAAGGAGGCGGTTCCAGGACATACAGGCTGTAGGCAGGCAGAGCCACGGTATCAGGGTCCAGGTCCCCAAAGGGCAGGGGCAGCCTCATGACCAGCGGATACTGAAAGGAACTGTAGGCTGTGGAAAACAGAAGGAAGAGAGCCAGGGTGGGACTCAGCCCTCAACCCCCCACCCTAGCAGGTAACCCCAGTCTATGAGCACTCACAAGTCACTGTGCTGTGCACGGGGCTATCACTGTCCACGGGGATGACTGTCAGATCACAGGACTGCCTGGATGGCAGCAGGTGTGACTGGGCTTGTGCCTGCTTCCGGAGGCAGCAGAACCGGACGCAGCTGGCTGTGACGGCACACAGCAGCAGGAGGAGGACAGCTAGCAAGATGAGCCTGGTGGGAGGAGCAAGGCCCTGCCACTGGGCTAACCTCGGCCACCAGACCCCTGCTCCCCAGGGCAGACAAGGCCACACTGCTCATGACAGGAAAAATTAACAGGAGAAGAAAGAACCAGAGTGTCCCTTCAGGCCAGAGACTTCCTCCCTGGCTGAGATGCCCAAGCGGCCTGCCTGACCTCCTGCTGCTGGGGCAGTCCGGCTGTCTCTCCAGGGCTGGCCAAAGGTGGCCTTGGGTGCACTCCCAGGACATACTGTCCCCGGTGGCTGCACAGTCCTTGTGCCCAGATGACTGAGGACAGGGGCCTCCCGCAGGGGCAAAGGAGAGGAGAAAGGGGTGCTAGAGGTTTCCGGGAAAGAGGGGCTGGGCCTTGCTCGGGCAGGACTCATACCCAGGCCATCTGCAGTAGGGCTCTGAGGTCGCCCTGGGGTTGTTGAAGGAGTTAGGTGAGCAGGGTTGGAGGTCTGGCCTGGTGTGGGTCTGGAGGGCCTGACCCGCGGGCTCCCTCCTTACCCTGGCTGCCCTCCCGGCGACCCGCAGCTCCGCGCCTGCACTTACCCCACGTGCCACAGGCTGCTCCAGCGGGCCTGGGGTGGGCACCTGCGGGGACGGCGGCACCTGGAGCAGGCGGGGCACCGGGCGCCGACCTCACCGCCCGACCCCTCCCACAGGCGGGGCCAGCACCGCCCGGGCGCCCGGACCCTCCCCTTCCCCGACTTACTGGTCCGAGTTATCACAGCTGTCGTCTGTGAAGCCCAGCGCCACCTGTGGGGACAGGGGTGAGCCGGGGAGAGAGCACCGCCAGAGAGTAGACCCGCTCTGCGGGGTCCAAACCCAGCTGCAGCGCGACCCACCTGCGGCAGCGACCAGAGCAATAGTAGCAGCAGGAACCTGCAAGCGGCCGGAGCGCCCAAGGCCATCCTCCGGAACCGCAGGCCAGGAGAGCCGAGCCCGCGCCTCTTTATGGAGGTACCGTTCTGGAGTCCCGCCCACCGGGCGGTACCCCACCCCCCTCCAGCCGGCCCCGCCCACAGAATCTTTGGCCGCGGAAAGCTTGGTCCCGGAGACCCACCGAAGGCCCCGCCCTTCAAAGTCACTACTCCTTGAACTCTCCGCCCATTGGAGAGTTCTAGCTAGTAGGTCCTACCCAATGGAGGAGCCGCTCTCACAGGCCCTGCCCCAGAGCCCTACGGGGCCCCGCCTCTCCCACCTCACTAGCAGCCTCTGTCAGCAGCCCCACTTGCTCTGCGTTTCTCTGGGGGTCTCCAGACAAACACACCGCAGGTCGTGGGGTGGAACCAACCTCACGGCCGCGCTCCCCACAAACTACTTGAGTCTAGCAGTTGACATGTGGCGCTCTCCAAATGAGGTTGTCTCACGGTATCTGTGGAGCATCCCCCCATTGGAGAATGCGGTGCGCAGACTGATTTAGGAGCATTGCTCGCCCAGAAGGCCACGTCCAGCGCTAAGACGGCAACCTCTGAGGATCCATACTAGTCTGGTGGCCACACGCGACTGCTTTCTGCCTGGAGGACCCAATTCTTTCCGAAGGTCCTGATCATCCGCCACTTTTCTGGGATCCCTGGCGCAGCTAGCCTTGGTCAGGATAAGGGGGGAGAGGGCAGCGATGAGGGACAGGTGGGCCGATTGATCTTGTTTGGGGAGGGCAGGAGAGCACCGCACGCGTTAGAGTTCTCTGTGCCCCCCCCCCCATTGGGTAGAGAAATGTCCCCTTCTGTCTTGTCCCATGTAGATGTTGGTACCTGCCAGGCCCCTGCTCCCTGGTTCACTGTGTCCTCCCCAGTCTCTGCCGGATCTGCATTCCCAGGGCCTGTAGCTGCCCTCAGCCCACCTGACTCCTGGCCGCCCCTCCTTTTGGCTGCGAACCGCAAGGTCAGCAGTTCAAACCTACCAGTTGTTCCGCGGGAAAAGATGAGGCTTTCTGCTCCCGTAAAGATTTACAGCCTCAGAAACCCTATACAGCGTCGCTATGAGTAGGAACCGACTCCACGACACATAACCACCACCACCACCTGCCTGAACTGAACCTGGCCTCAGGAACAAGCACAGAATGCTCGGGTCTACTGCCGCCTGTCCTGATGCAACCCCTGTGCAGGTCCAGGGCCATTGAGCCAGTGGCTTACCTAGCGGAGAGGTGGGCACACTGCCCTCTGAGGCAACTTGGCCTGGGCTCCCAGGGCTCTGCCTTCTCCTCCTCTGGTGAAGAAGGGCCCTCTGGTTGTGGCTGGTCAGCTCCAGTGGGGGCAGGAGGAAACCTGGTCTGCCACCTCCAAAGCCCAAGCCTTGGCCCCCATGGACAGAGAAGAGTAGTATCTCCGAGGGGTGAGGGCTGGTATCTGAAGCCTGTGCTCTCTGAAAGCCCCCCAGACACCATCCCCTCCACACCTGCAGAGTGTCTGGGTGGGGTGGGCTGTGAGACTGCCCTGGGGACCAGTCTGAATGGGCTCTGCAGAGCTTATGCCCAACAAGCAACCCTCCAGAGAGCAAGGCCCGTGGGGTGGGTGTGGGCACTGCTCAGCTCAAAGGCCCTTTCTCCTGGACAGGTGGCACAGCCCTGTGGAAATCCAAACTAGGCTTCTCCCTGGGTCCCAGTACTGGGGTGAGGGTTTATCAAGGGTGTATCTCTCACCTTCTTGCAATCATCAGGGAGTCCTGTCTTTGAGCGTTGGAACCTCTCCCAATCCCCAACTCCCTGGGCCAGCTTGGGCTCCAGCCCTGCCTACTGTGTCTCCCATGCGTTAGGCTTAAGCCTCCCCTCAGTGACTGGCAAACAACCCCCCACCCCCAACTATCCAGGAAGTCCTTCCTTAGTTTGTTTGATGAGCTGTCATGTATGTGTGTGTTTTGCACACATACTCCTCCCGGACTCTACACCCATTGCCTTATCTTTGCTCCTCACAGTGAGTGATTTGGTTGCTTCGAATATGGGAGATCATGGAGGTTTATTGACAGGCCTCCCTTGTGGCCCGTGAGGGCTGGGCAGGGCCAGTGGCCATGACTCCAGGGGCTCAGGGTCCAAGCAGACCTCTAGATGGCCATATTGAGGTGCTGAGGTGAGGTGGCAGCTTTTACCCTGAGCTTGCTGGTCCAGGACAACTGGGAGCCTGGAGGTCTTCAGGTCATGACCCTGTTTGTGGGGCTGGAGATTCTGTCCTAAGGTCCATGCTAAGGACTGTTCTGCCGATTTGGACCTTCCCAGCTAGGGGTGACCAAGTCCTGGGGAGGCGCAGTCTGCTTCATGGTAGAGGGAAAAAGCCTTGAAGGAGGTGTGAGGGTCTAAGATGGGTTCCGTGGAGTGGTTCCTGTGCCTCAGGGGCCAGTTACCACCTGGGCTACCAACAGGATCTTGTAGGTTTCCTTCACGTCTCCTTTGAGCAGCAGCAGGGCTGACACCATGAGTGGATGCTCTGGCTGGAAGGGGGAGAGTAGGGGCCCCTAGTCAGTCACTGGGCACCCCAGGGCTCCCCATGCCACCCTTCTTAGGGTGGGGCAGGGTGTCTGCCCCGGGCAGGGCGGATTCCCCAGCTTACGTTGAAGTCTGCAGTGGGCATCCATGAGATGCTGATTGTCTTGGTCTGGCCTCTCTCCACCAAGCCCCGTGAAGGTTCCACCGTGAAGCCCTTGTGCTGCAGGGCTGAGACATTGTCTAGGCTGAATTCCACGCTCTGTAAGGCATAGGAAGGGTGGGGGGCTCATGGGGTAAGTCAGCCAAAGCCAGCTGGGGACATGGATGGTACCTTCATGGCAGAAGGGCTATTACCTTCTTCAGAGACAGCTGGGAGGTTCGGATGCATCCCACCTGCAGTTCCCGGGTGGCAGGGGGGGCTGGGATGTCGGTTTCCAGCTGCAAGTACTCCAGAGTCACCAGGATGGACTTCACTTCCTCAGCCTCTGCAGAGGGAGAAGGTCTTGCTGGGGCCGTGTAGTCCCGGCTGAGCGGAGGACCTGTTTGGGGCGTGTGCGTGGGGAGGAGGAGGTCCCCAATCACCGGGCTCACCCTCTCTGTGCTCCGGGTCAAAGGCGGGAATCACAATCAGGGACTCCACCGGCACATCCAGAGGGTCCCCGCCCTCCACGAACATCATGTGCTCGCGGGCCGCCCCCTTCAGGAGGATCTGATGGGAGACTGTCTGGAGACAGAAAAGGCGGCCTTGTCCCTGCCGCTCTGGGCTTGGGGCTAGGTGCAGACCTTGTCGGACCTGGGACGTAGGTCCCCTCCACCCTGACGACCCCAGACTTGTAGGTCCCGGCCAGGAGAGCCTCGGACAGGCGGGAGGGGTCTCCCAGCGCGGAGGCGAGCTGTGGGCGGGCGCACCTTGTCAAAGAGTACCACTTGAAGCCGGTCAGAGAAGTACAGGCTCTCGTGGTCCGGGCTGAAGGTCACGGTGAAGTCCTGCGCCCTTCCGGGATCGATGAAACCCTCGACCGGGAGCACACTGAACACGCTCTGCCCGTTCAGGTTCTGCGTGCCTGCAGGGGTCGGAGCGTGGCCGGACCGGAACCCCCAGCGTCTGACACCCCCGCCGTGTCCCTCTGCATCCTCGCTCCCCGCCAGCGCCCGGCGCAGCCCGTCCACTTTCCTCCTGCCCGCCTTACAGCCCCACCGTCTTAATCACTCAGTTTCCTCCACCCATGTCTCCGGACCAGCTCCGCCACCCTCACCACCGCACCGAGCGTCTCTGTCCGCCCTCTCGGTCAGTCTCTTTCCCATCTTTCTGCCCCATCCCTAGGCCCCGTCCGCGAGCTCACCGACCACGTTGGTCCTCTGGACCTGGGAGACGAGGAACTGCGGCAGCTGTTGCCGGTCTTCCCTCCGCGTGCAGGCCAGGCTGTCCAGCCTCATGGAGAACTTGATGGGGAGCGTGGAGTGGTTCTGCAGCTGCGGTGGGGGATGGTCGGGGACGGGACGTCAGTCTTGGCCTCTACCCTTGGCCAGGGACAGTACCTTGACCACCAGTGCTCTGGAAAAGTTCCGGTACCCACATCTCCAGGCAGTCTCCTCGCCTCACCTCATTCTTCGGAAACTGTGCCCATGTTCTGCAGGGGTGGGAACTCACGGACAAGGTGGTTCCACCTGGAGGTCTGCCCGGCAAAGAGCCTAGCCTGAGCCGAGCTCCCCAGGAGTGAGTTTTAAAGCCAAGATCAGACAGTGGAGGAAGGGGCTCTAGGCAGAGGGGCTGGCCCTGCAGAGGAGGTTAGGCTTGGGGGGGGGAGGGGCGGAGCTGGGGAGCAAGGGGTCAGGGAATGAGGGGGAGGGAAGCTGCTTTCACAGATCATCAGGGACCACACTGCCTGGGGGTCTGGCCTGGCTTCCCTCCCCTCTGGCCCTGTCCAAGGCAGCATGAGGGAGGTCAGTGCCCAGAGGTTAGAGGCTGGGGGCCTGGCCCAGTACACTTCACCTTGAAGGTGGAGGAGCCAGACTCCCTGGCTATCACATAGCCCATGTTGAGGACATCCCCTTCGATGGAGCAGACGATCACAGAAGCGACACCAGTGCCCAGGAGGGTGAGTGTAAGCTTGCCCCTCTTGGTGATGATGTCCAATGTCTCCTGGGCCTGGAGAGACCCTACCCTTAGCAGGAGACAAACAGCCCTCAGGCCACAGGGGAAGGGGTTTTGGAACAGGCTGGCCTGGTCAGCGATGGCTTGAGTCCAGGATGGCCAGGACTCACCACGATGCTTTCTCGGGGTAAGAAGGACAGTCCCAGGGCCTGGGTCTCGCCTGCAGGCAACTTGTAGAAGGGTTTCAACACAGCGAAGGGGCCGCTGGGGTTCAGTACCGAGAACTCCACCTGAGAGTGGATGTCAAGGAGGGTGCCGCGGGCTTTGCCTTTGGGCAGGGCCCCACCCTGTCAGCTCTTGCTGGGGACTTGTGAGGGAAGGATACAGTCAGGTCCTCAGGGGAGATGTTCTGAATGGAGATCTTCTTTATGCCTCGGTGCCCTGAAGCAGATGTGGAGGGTGGCTGTGGGTGGGTGGTGACCTGGGTGTGAGGGTGTGTGTGGGCCTGAGATCTGGGTCAGGGGACTCACCAACAGCCACCTCTCCGAAGTTAAAGACAGTCTTGCCTTTGTCAGAAGCCACCACAATAGACGGTGCCACTGTTGGACACCACAGCTCCAGGTACAGGGTGTTGTGGGGACTGCGGACCAGGTGGAAGGCCATGCTGAGGGCTGGATGGCACCCTGGAACACCCCTGCCTCCCACCACCCAGGCTGAGTTGCCGCTGGGCCAGAGCAGGTGAGGCCCAGTGGCTGTACTGCAGACCAGTTCCCATCACGGGCGTTCCGCACCTGAAGCTCATGGACTCTGTTTCCTTTTTGTCCTTGATATCCCCACTGGCAACAACACAGGGAATCACAAATGTGTCAAACTTCCCCTCAAAAGTTCTGGCCAGGGCAGCTCGGGCAGCCTGGAGCTCTTCAGAACTGGAATGAGCAAACCAAGTGTGCTTGTGTCCTGCCACTGCCCCATAGTAGCCCTGGGTCTGACCTCCCTGAGCACAGGCCAGCATAGGGACAGTCCCCTGGGCCCTGGACTCAGAGCGGTCTCTCCGGAGCATGCAAGAGGCAAGGCTCACAAGGTTTCCTTGAGAGTGGAAGTGGGGGAAATGTAGCAGTGAAGACATGGGTTGAGTTTGGCCATGTTCCATAGACACCTGATGACCTTGAGATGAGCGAGAGAAGAAGGACTGGCTGGTTTGAAGTTTGGGAGACATGTAAACTTCTGAGCCCAAGGGCACTGACCTAGCCACTGAGGGCTAGAGTTAAGAGTGACGCAGCAAGCTGGTCTGAAGTGGGGGGAGGCATGCACGAACTCCCAAACTTGCAGACAGCACCATTAGACCTAGCTTAGAAGGCTTGCTGACCAGAATTCAACCAGATGAAGGTAAAGAAGTTTGATACAGGAAGCACGTATAAGTTGCTACAACTTAAACTAGACCAGTGCTTATGGATAAAGATGCCCAAAATCCAACCAAAAAGGAAGATTTTTTTCTTATCAAGGATCAAGCTTGCCTCCTCAGCACACTGGGTTGATAGGGACGAGCAACTTAGACTTTGGCTATCAAAATTGGGGGGCTATAAAGGCATGAAGTGACTGGTTTACAAGCTTTCAGGAGGGTGGTTAGGGTCAGAATGAAGGGAGTAGGATAGAATCCCCACTGAATAGTTTTCTTCTTGTCCAGATGGGTCTGGTGATGAGGAGGATAGGATTTTATGATTCAACTGTAATTGTTATCAGGTCTAATGGGATTATCACAACTGTAAATGTAGAAGAGGTGTAACCAAAAGGGGAGAGCAGTTAATCTGTCATTTCAGGAACAGAGGACATTAGGCCCATCACGAGAGAAAAGCATGAATGGAACGAGGGATCCTAACAAGAAAAGCTGCGACAACAGAGATGGTGGCAGAGACGATGGCATAGAGACAGATCAGCAGAGGACTACAGGCCCATGGACTGAGAAAGGCTGTGTGCCTAAGGGCAGGAGGCTGGCTTGCAAAATGTGCCCTTTGGATATTTAAACGAATATATATTTTCAATGTGGTATGTGTACATTAAAACAAACAAACAAAAAAGTGTAATAGAGGTAAATACTGTTAACTGACGATGCTTGGAAGGGAATGAAAGTATTGTGATGATTGGTTGATTGAATGTGAAACTGATGAACTGCCCTGTTAGACCTTCATTCAATTCACAAAAAAAGCTTTAAAAAAAAAAAAAAAAGGCAGTAATCACGGTATCTGAGTTTTCTCTGGTCAGTTAGCTGTTCCACCTCCTTCCCTGGGTCCTATGGGAGAGCCTCCTACCCAGTACTAGGGTCTTGGTTGAGTCAGCCGCAGGGGGACAGAGGCACCTAACCAGAGATCTATGTTCTGGGATCCCAGGGATGGCAAGTCACCCGAGCCTGTCAGAGTGTCCTGGGGTCCACTTTGGACACTGGGAAGGTTGGACTTGCTGAGCTGGTAGCAGCCTATCTTCCTGCCATGCCGAGGGCATTCAGTGGAGTTGGCAAACACCTAGGAAGGTAGCACTTGGCTCTGGTTGTACCTTAAGTCCCTGGGCCTGACTTCCCAGTCATGTGAGTCAGTACAGCCCTGCTCAAGCAGCTGAACTGCTTCTGATACCTGTGTGTGTGTGAGATCCCCACAGGACCAGGTCTGGGTCTCATCAGAGGTCCTGGAGAGAAGCGGGTGGTGCACCTTTTCTGGGCTCACCTGGCCTTGAAGTCCTGCTTGTGCAGCTCTTGGCTCGGGGGGCTGGAATTCCGGAACTGTCGATCTCGATTCTGCTGTCGCGTGTGGCTGCTGGACTGCCTTCTAAAGTCCTTCATCAGAATGATTGTGTTCTTGCGGAACTGTGGGGAGGACAGAAGGGATGTGGGGCTGCAGGCTGGCAGTCACAGCGCTGCTCCTATGGACTCTAGGGCCCATATCAGCCCTGGACCAAGCTGGTAGGAGCTGTAGGTTTGGAGGACATGGGAACTTGAACACTGAGAGGCTTAATAAGAGGGATTGATGGCAAGTGCAGACAGGACAAGTGATGGAGACTGGGGAGATGGGGGATGGAGACAGGTGTGTGTGGGGGTAGAGATGGGAGTAGAGAAGGGAGTGAGGTGGTGGAGACAGGTGGTTATGGGGGATGGAGACAGGGGAGGGTGGGGATGGAGATACAAGGCAGTATCAGGGTAGAGGTGTGCAGAGCCCACCACAGGTCTGTTGGGGCAGGAGTTGGTCTCTAGCCTCTGTGAGTGGTAATGCTTTCCCCATTCATGGGTGAGGTGCCTTTGGCCCCCAGTAGAGGCAGGAGTGGGTGCTAAAGTATCCCATGGCTCCACAGCTAGGTTAGGGCCTGGATCCCTGCCTCCCATCCCCCCCACTCTTCATGAATCCCCCACAGACCAGTTTGACCCCAGACTGCTTGCTCATTGTCTGGAGGGCTTTCTGGTGCACCAGCTCCTCGGGCAGAACAGGCTGGAAGGCCACCTGCACCAGACACCTCTGTGGGGAGAACAGGAATGACTCTGGCAGTTCTGCTGGCATCCCATGCCTATCACCCTGATCCCAGTTTGCAGGTTGTTGCCCTCTCTCTGAAAGATTACTCTAGGGAGTCCCACCCTCCACACTGCTCTGGAATTGGGTGGGCTGCCTGACGGACTTCCAGGTCCCCCTTACCCTAGTGGGGTCCTGGTGATGGAGGAGGCATACCCAGATCTGGAACGGGCCAGGCTCTGCCTTGAACCTTCATTTTGAGGCATGGAGATTTGGGGGATGGTTCCTTTTCAACCCGACTTTCCAGCCTCTCCAAGTCTGTATCTGTCCCCTCTACAACCTGCCCCACCACAGATGTCCTGGCATGATGGGGCACGGGGGCCATGCATTATTGTCTTCTAGTGCTCAGTAAGTACTCAGGACATTTGGTGGACAGAGGCAGAGATACACAGAGACAGAATGCCATTCCCCGGGGGGATGAGAGCCTTCTTCAGCAACATTTGTGGAATTGAGTGGAGCGGATTTAAACCTGCTGACTGAGGCACGCTGGCCAGGCCTTATCTAGCCTTTCATGACTATTCTGCTCAGTCCTTCCAAAGCCCTCAGAGGAGCTGTTACCTCATTCTTCAGGGCGAGGAGTTAAGCTGCGGGGGCTGGGAGTAAGCCCCCCAGATAAAGCGGGGGAGGGAGAGAGGCAGATGAAGTGAACAAATGTGTAGCCTGGGGACCAGAGCACATCTTTGGGATCAGGCACCTGTGACGCAGCTCTCCTGGTGGAGGGGACCCTGTGGTGTATACCTGTGCTCGGAGTCCCCAGCCTACCCTGCTGCCTGTCTTTGGACTCTCACCCACCTTTCCTGGCAGCACTGTCCCCACTGAGGGTGAGATGGTGATGGGCGAGTCCTGGGGCAACAGGAACTCAAAAGACGTGGGCCCCACAGGGGCAGCGTCCTGGGAGCCGATGCGGGGCACTGAGTGGGTCAGTGAGTTCATGCTCAGATGGGAGTTGATGACATACAGGGTAGCCACGGAGGTGTCATATAAGGAGGTAGCAGCAAACTTGATGTGGTAGTGGGACAGCTCCAGGGGAGGGTGAACCCCCACAGCTCGGCAAGAGAGCTTGAACTGCCTGGGGCAATGGAGACAGCAGGCTCAGTCAGCGGGCATCCTAGATCTCGGGTAGGGACAGAGGCTCTGAGGGAGATACCTGTGTGTGGACACGCCCAGTCACCAGTCACCCCCTCCACTTTCGGCCCCACCCCAACCCCCAGCCACTGATTCAACCCTAGGTTTGTTAGCAGTGTAGCCTGCTACAGTGGCTGCCAAGAAATTTGCTCATGACTTCATTCAGGAAGCAAAGGCCCCTGGGTAGTGCAAATGGTTTGCACTGGACTACTAACCTAAAGACCCACCCAGTGGTGCCAGAAGAAAGGGGAAGATGATAGCTTTCTGAAGCTCAGTTCTGTGATATGTGAGGTCACACCATGAGTTGGAGTCAACTTCATGGCAATGGGCTTAGGTTTTTCTTCGTGTGTGTGTGTGTGTGTGTGTGTCCGTGTGTCCATTTTAACTCGGTAACTAAAAGCATGTAATTCCTGACTTATTTTGTTAAGTACTTGTTGATATTAAAATAATCAAATGGATAGATTGCTTTTTAAGCACAGAAATCCTTTCCTACTTCCATGGTGAGTCGACGCCCACCACTGTCCATTAATAAAAACGATCAATGTTTTGGGAATTTTAACCATTGGTAATTTTACTTTCCATATGAGGCTCTGAACTGCTTCTTCCCACTTCAGTCCTGGTTGACAAAGCAAAACTGGAATGGACTTGAATTTGTAAAATGTGAGCGTAACAGAACCACAACCAGAATGGGAATAGCCTGCTAATCTACCTCTCAGAAAGCATTAGCAATATGCACGATGCACAGTGATCAAATCTTCTGAACAACAGAGTTAGAAATAGTGGTGCTCAGATCAATGATGGCTGACAGTGTGGCACTTTGAATGTGTGCCACTTTCCATGGTCCTGCCAACAAGCCGATCTCCCACATCAGGCTCCTGAAAGGAGTCACTATACTCCTTCCAAGTCACCCATTCCAGGGTCTTGACCCATAATTTCCCCCATTCCAGTTATCAACCCAGTACACACCAATGTTTTACAAATTCAAATCTGTTCCCATTTTGCTAAATTGGCCACTACAGAACCAGTTCAAAGCCTTAGTTCTGTATTCTCCCAGAATTCCTATTTCTTTTGCCTTACCCCCGTTGAATTTTATCCTAATGACACATATTTTTATGCTTTAAAGCATAAAACTGATCACTCAGCATACTTGTCCAAAACAAAAATGTGTCTATATGTTGATAAATTTCTCTCTCTCCCTTTTTGATTGTCCTGTAACTACAAAGCTTGTGGGGAAAAAAAAAAAAAATCCTTCTGGATGGAGTTATCTCTGCAGTAATTGAGTAATTAGTACTCAATTCACAGAATACTTCTATTATATAAAAATGTGCTGAATAATCATTGCACGCACAAAGAAAAACTTGGCTGGAAATTGCTTTTTGGCCAAATGGATGGCACTGTGGGTTCCCATTGGTCCCAGTGTCCTGGGAGAACATGGACTGTTTGAAGGAGAGATGGACTTCGGGGTGAGGATGTGAAAGCTGGGGAGTGGAAGGCACTTTGTCCTTAAGGCCACTCAACCTTTTGAACTGCTGTTCATTGACATGCCTCCCCAGATCACATAGTAGCAACCATCTACTTGTCTGTGGCACTCACCCAAGCTCTGAAGTCCTGGTTGGTCGCCAGGGGCTCTGGGTGGCACGTCACTGAGGCCCTCCCAAAAGATTTGCCAGATGCTACCAGAGACTTTGAGGCAGTGGGTTTAATCCCATCCATTCAGAAAGGACTGACAGTCTCCATTCCAGGCCCATTAGCTAATATCACATTTAGGGATACAATACCACATTTGGGGAACTTTAAAAGGTTTTTTCTTTTCTCCTAAAACCACTGATATCAGGGTTTGAACATTCAGTGCTTAGAAGCTATTGGAGAATAGCTTCTAAGATGGAGATCTTGCTCAGAGGTAGAGCTGGCTTCTCTGTCAAACCACTGGCCCGGTCACGTCTGACTTCACTTCTGAAGACAAGTATTTGGCTTCATTTTCAGTTAGCCACAGTTGTGCTGACACCTGTGCCCAAGGTCACACTCCCGAGTGATGGCAATGGAGATGGGGCTGGAGATACCCTAGACCTCTTCTGAAGTCTCGCTGAGTTCCTGGCCCATCAGTCACTTGGCTGGGGAGGTAGACTGGCTGGAGGTCTGGCAAATGCTTGTGGTCTGCTGCGCAAAGTCACATTGACCTCCTTACCTGACCTGTAATCCCTGGAAGATCTGTGTGAGATTTGGCATCATAAAAAAATGTTTGAAAGGACTCATCTGTGAGAGGCCATCTGGGTTTGGATTTCCACTGTAGGAAGAGTTTGCATTTTGGGTTCAATTTCTTTAATAGTTGCCAAATTGAGTCAGGTTCTAAAATTTTTTCTTGCATCCATATTGGAAAGTTGTGTGTTTTTCGGAGGTCAGAACTGTGGTGGCTAGTGTGACTTGGGCCACAGGTACGGCTACAGAAGGGATTGACTCTCTCCAGGTATTCCACACTGCAGCCACAGCAGGGTCTCACCTTTGTCATGGAGTGGTGCTGTTGGGGTGAAGGTGGACAGCAGAGGAGCACTAGGCTAGTTCCTCACTAGTAGTTGTTTAGTTTATGGGTATGAGCTGATGACCCCTGACTTCATAAGCCTTCTTTCTGGGAGCTGCTCCAGTTGCAACAACTCAAGTTGTTTTGACTTATTTTGAAAGTTCTGACCTTGATCATCAGCTTCAGAGCATCAGGTGTGTCTGCCTCCCCAGAAGACACAGACTTTATTAATGAACAAGTAAAGGCACTGGGCAGGAGGCAGAGAGGGGGGAACAGAAATGGGGTAGGACAAGCATCTCCCTTTCTCTCCTGGGTACCACAGAGAAACAAGGAAAACAGAGACAAAATAAAGGAAGTAAACCACAGAGACAACTGAATTTTTTTGCTAGACTTGGGCTAGCTATGGAGCCCTGGTGTGGCACTGTAGAGTAAGCACTGGACTTCTTAACTGCAAGGTTGGTGGTTCAAACAGGGTTGCTATGAGTTGGAATCAACTTGATGGCACTTAACAACAACAACAGGGGCAGCTACAATCCACAGAATCAAAAACAAGTGCTGTTAGAGTCTGCCCAAATTCCCTCCAAACCACTTGGCACAACTAGGATGACAACTCAAACCGTGGATATTTGGGACAGAGCTTGAACATTTATCTCCAGTTTCATGGGTCCCTCCCTGGATCCCTGCCTGGCCAAGAACTCTCAGGATATGGGTGGCCGCCAGCACAGGGGAAGGCAAGGTGATAGTGGTCACTGGTGGGCTGAGTGGATACTACAGAGAGCAGGATGAGTATCCTTTATCTTGCTGGCCCCCCATGGAGGTGCTCTGCGCAGCAAGGATTGTGGGGCCAGCTGCCTGGGTCAGGGGTTGGGACAAAGAAGAATTCAGAGCCCAAAGCAGTCCTTCATGCAGTTTGATATTGGAACATAATGCAGTTAAATTTAAATGCAGTTAAATTTAAATGCAGTTAAATTTAAGAACCAGAATAAGATTAATTCCAAGTGACCTGCAAAACAATGAGATCAGACTGTGATGTTGTAAAGGATGGGAGGGATGAACAACTCAGTGAGGGGCTGTTGTTGTAAAGTGCTGTTGAGTCAGTTCTGACTCAGCAATTCTGTATAGTGTTTCCAAGGAGCTTCTGGTGAGCTTGAATTGCCAACCTTGAAGTTCAAACTGACCATATGGTCTAGTGCTTTTTCTACAGTGCCACACCAGGACTCCCAGTGATGGGCAGCTACTGGTAAAAGTAAAATCACTTCGTGATTATATTCCTAACAAGATGACGACAAAGAATGATTACAGGAACATCACCTTGTGGTGTAGTAAATGACTTAATATGGTCCCTCTAGCCACAGTCTTCATTGTCAAAAAGAACATATCCAGATCATTCATGAGGTACAATGCTGTCTGTGATAGGATAATATCCATGCACCTATAGGGGAACCCAGTTAATACCACTATTATTCAAATTTATGCACCAACCACTAAAGCCAGTGAGGATGAAATAGAAGAATTCTACCAACTTCTTTAATCTGAAATTGATCAAACAAGCAATCAAGATGTATTGCTCATTTCTGGTGATTGGAATGCAAAGGTTGGGAGCAAAGAGGAAGGACCAGTAATTGGAAAATATGGCCTTGGTGATAGAAATGATGCTGGGGAATGCATGATAGAATTCTGCAAAACCAATAATTTGTTCATTTCAAATACCTTCTTTAGACAGCATAAAAGATGACTATATACATGGACCTCACTAGATGGAATACACAGAAATCAAATTGACTGTATCTGGGGAAAAAGACAAAGGAAATGCTCCATATCATCAGTGAAAACAAGGCCAGGGAAGACTGTGGAACAGACCATCAATTACTCTTATGCAAATTCAAACCGAAGCTGAAGAACATGACAAGTCCACAAGAGCCAAAATAGGACCTTGAATATATCCCACCTGAATTTAGAGAT